AGTAGTGTCGTTGTGAGAAGACTTGGGGAAGATGGGTATGAAGTAGAGAGGAAGGGGATGAGGATAGCGCTTAAGCCGGGCAAGTATGAGTTGGTTCTGCAGGCATAATACTGCATTGTAGATTGCATATATAGTTTAGTAAATGTCAAGGATGATGTGGCATCATATGATTTCAATGAGCCAGCAAACTACTATAACGTTGGAAGTATAATGGCAAGCCATTACACCCCCATCCGCCACCATCTACCAAAGCTGGCACGTAGGCTCCTTGACCTTGCACTGGAAACTCTCCCTGAACTCTCTCGAGTTCGCCATAGTACCCAGAATACGTGCCCACTTGGGTGCGTGAGGATCGGTGTAGACACGGTTGATGGCAGTATCCTTACGGGTCTTGCCACACCACCAGTTGCTGTAGCTGACAAAGAACATCTGCTCTTGCGAGAAGTGGTCTAGACCAGGGAGATTCTGGTTGGGCGTCTCGGCCGAGCGGCGCTTCCAAGCCTGGAAAGACGCGGAGAGGCCACCGGCATCGGCAATGTTCTCGCCAAGAGTGAGCTTGCCGTTGACGTGCAGAGGCTTGTCGTCGGGGCCAGGAACGGTGAAGTTGGAGTATTGGTCAACAAAGCATTTGACCTTCTGCTCGAAGGCCTCTACTGTTGAGTTGGACCACCAGTCGGTGAGGTTGCCGTTCTGGTCGTAGTGACGACCGGTGCTGTCGAAAGCGTGACTGAGTTCGTGACCGGCAACGGAGCCGAAAGCACCGTAGGACATGTACGCAGGTACATTGACGTCGAAGACTGGGAACTGCATGATGCCAGCAGGGAAGACGATCTCGTTGCCGGGAGGGTTGTAGTAGGCGTTCACTGTTGGAACAGACATGTCCCACTGATCGCGATCCACAGGCTTTCCAAGGGCGGACCACTCTTCCTTAACCTCAAAGCGGCGCATGGCAAGTGCATTGGCGAAGAATGCGTCTGATGAAACATTGACGGTCTCGTAGTACTCCTCAAGCGTAGGCGGGTCCATGATGTTCGGGCTCTTGGTGGGGTAGCCGATCTTCTGGACGATGTTGTGCACCTTCTCGACAGCCTTCTTCGCTGTGTCCTTGTCCATCCATTCAGCAGAGCTCAGCTTCTTAGAGAATTCGGTCTTGATGTCTGTGATGATGGTATCGCCGAACTTCTTCGCCTCGGCGGAGAAGGCCTTCTCTACGAAGAAGCGGCTCAAGATCCAGCCCAATCCGTTGTCGACGTGGCTGACACATGATCGCCATCGCTCAGGGGCGGAGTCAGGGTCTTTGCCTGCAAGCACGTTGACAAAGCGACGGTAAGGCTTGACGGCTTCAGCATCAACATAAGCAGACAGAGACTGAACGGCCTTCCAGATGAAGTAAGCCTGGAGAACATCCTCGGATGTAGCTGCGAGGATTACTGACAACTCCTTCAGATAGTCCGGGGTCGTAACAATGACGCGCTTGATGTCGCTACCCTCTGGAGCCTGGCCTGCGAGAAGCGCCTTCAGCTCGATTTCGGGGGCGATCGCAGCCGCGTCGTCGATCGAGAATGGGTTGTAAGACTTCGTGACATCTTCGCGGTCTTCTTCGCTTGGAGATGCTGCCGCGAGTTTCTTTTCGAGATCAATAACACCCTCAAATACAGCCTTGTCCTGGTCGGGGTATAACGCGCTAAGAACTTCAACAGCGACACCACGGTATTTCTCAACGAGTTTCTCGTCTTCGTAGCGCTCCTTGGAAGGTAGTCCGAAGTTGTACGGGGCACCAACAGACACGACGACAGTGTCGGGGTCGGTGTCGTCGGCACCTGTACCAGTTGAAACAAGACCAGTGATGCCGTACTTGGCCAGAAGAAGGATAGTGTCCTTGATCGAGTTGGAGTCCGAAGCGATGGCAGAGCACGTCTTCTTGATCTCGTCAAGGACCTGCTTCAAAGGCCCAGCGCCAATGCTCTTGATCTTGTCTTCGTTGAGGCACGCATCGTAAGCCGCTCTCATCTTGTCAAAGTTCTCCTCATCGGCGGATTTGGCAGTTGACATCAGCTGCATGGGTGAGAAGTAAGAATGCTACAGGAAGGTTAGTTGGGATTGATCTAAATAGTAAGGTTGCACTTACCTCGGAGTCTTTGGGGTAAGGAGCCTCAAGAATATGGCGAAGCAGCATCTGTGAGTTTTCCGACATGATTGTGCCGGTGAAGGCATCACCCTGGTCAGCTCGCAAGTCATGGCGGTCTCTCCAGCCACCGCAGACAAGCTCTTCGAAGTCATCGCATGGGTCAAGCTCTTTGTACTGAGGTGATAGGTTGTAGAGAACCTCTGAGGCCGCATGCACACAAGCTGGAGTCAGACATAGCTCGCTCTCCTCTGGATAGTCGCCGGTCGGCTCATAGTCGACTGGACATCAATTAGTCGCAAATCAGTTGAACGTGACGATATACATACCCTGCGGAATTCCATAGAGTATGAGTGTAGCTGTGGCGGCGATGGCAAACAGCCTTCCTACCGCTTGACGTTTGGAGTAGCGTTGCACGTGGCTTGGCTGCACGGGTGCAGACGCGTCCGACGCGACGAGCGGTGTTTTCTCAGCAGCCATATTGAATAGCTGAGCTGGCAGTATCGAGCTGGAGATTGATGAGAGTATTGATGATGCCAGCCAGCTGAACACCGTGATGATGGATGAAGAAGAAGAAGAGCGGAGGAGGCGGAGGCGATAGAGTTGGCCAGAAGCGGAGTCCGGGGTGCAGCTGACGCATGTTGGCGCGGGACGCGCTAGCACGTGCGGGACCTTCCAAGGTTGCAGATTCCATGACTCGTGCATCCCCGACGTCATCCGACACTCTATCACCTGCCACCTTCACCTACCATCTTGTGTACGCATCCAGCGGCCTAATTTACTTTTACATCAGCATCTCGTATCCTCGCCTCCCAGATTAAGTATATCACACCTTCACCAGGGCATGCATCGTGCACAGCAAGGCAGATGATCGGCGCGCCTTCGGCTCCGGCCCGGTCAGCTCAGTTTATCGATTCGGTCCCCAGCCCCCATCACCGACTCTTATGCAGCGACTTGAGCTGACTTCGATCCAAGCTTGGGGCCAGTCACCCTTGGTAGAGTTGTCCTGGTAACAACGATGATCACAAATTCCAATCGCTCCTCAGATATGCGGTATGATACGAAGAGTGGCACGAGTGGTTTGCGATAACGGTGGCCCGACTACTATTCTGATATGTAACAAAGTTTAGTACACCTCAACCATGCGCAACGTCAAATATATACAAGAAGAACTTCCATCGCAGGCCAACTACGATCGACAATCTACTCTCCAGAAGGTCCAGCAAGTGTGGCGCCTGGCCTGATAGGAGTGCCAAAGTTCGGCGTGCCATCAGCGTTCCAGTTGACCTTCTGCGCCATCGTGTACCTGTTGCCGTCGCAGGCGCCAGTCTGAATAGCAGTAGCGTGGTAAACGTTCCATATCTCTGTGCCATCGGGACTGGTGAAGAAACTATATTGCGGTCAGCGTGGATGTCGCGCGGTATCGACTGGTCAACATACCCGTTGTGACCTGGCCCGTAGTTGCCGTTGGCATTGGTGAAGACAGGCCCATCGCTCTTCTTCCAGCTCGCACTGAGCGCCGGGTCACCCGAGCCATTCCAGGTGAGCAGACCCAAGCTGTAGTTGGGTGTCCAGCAGAAGCTTGCCGAGTAAGCGATGTAGGTCTTGCCACCGTGGTACATAGCAACTGGACCTTCTTGCACAGGGCTACCATTGGTTTCCCACGACTCAGTAGGTGTAGAGAGGATCTTGGTAGCACCAAGTTTGCCAGGCGAGATCATGGGTGCGATGCAAAGTGATTGAAGGGCGCCGGAGAAGCAAGACCAGGTGAAGTAGTTGCCCCATTTGCTGAAACGAACGATGGAGCCATCGATACCCCATACGTTGGTCAATTGGGAGAGGTAGGTGTATGTCCCGAATGGGTCCGCACCACCTGCGACTGTTAGATTACTCATCATCTATACGATGAAACATTCTCACCTTTGAGCACATAAGGGCGCTGGAGGTCCAGGTTGTCGGTACCACTGCGGCCGGCAGTATAGTAGATGTACCATGCACCATCGAGGTAGTGCAGCTCAGGTGCCCACATGTTGCAGCATCTGTCAGGGTTCGAGTCGGTCCAGACAACCTTTGTCTCTCCTGTCTTCAAGCCTCCGAGCGTCTTTGCTCTCGTGATTGAAAGGTTGGTCCATGTCGTCGTCATCATATAGTAGTAGCCATTGGTGTAGGCGATGTGAGGGTCTGAACCATCCTTTTGTTTGAGTGGGTTGCTGAAGCTTGCTGCGCTGACGAGGGAAGAGAGTGCGAGCACACATGTGCTGAGCGACTGGAGGAACATCATGGCGGTAAAGATAGAGGATGAAATCTGCAGTCAAACTGTTGTTTCTCAATGTGTTTGCAACAGTCCATCTTATAAGAAATCTGACATCGCACTTGATCTTGAGCCGCAACAAGATTGAAGGCATGCGCCACAACCCCAGTTCTTCCGTCCACGACTTACATTTTGTGATCACCCGGCTTTCCACGAATGACCACCATGACTTCCGAGAAGCCAAGATATCTCTAGCGGAAATCTGGGGTGCAGCGCAGAAACTAGAAAGGACTAAAGGAGCGGACCGCTGGGCTCAATGTCTGTGGAAGGCTCCGATTGGTGCAAATGAGTGTGCGCATCGGGCAGCCTTCCTCCCCACATGTGGTCCTTCCTCATATGGACTACGAGACTTCTATCACGTGTGTACGACTGATGCCATGTGGGGATGGAAGTGCTGTGTAGTTGTCGCGAGAAGTACACGAAGAGGTGTCGGGACTTTGGGGCTGCATTGTGACGCCGGTGCAAGCAATGAGCCGCCGGGTGCCGATGTGCCGAGGTTCCTTCCCGTTTTGCGCCAACCCTCATCATCTCCTGCCTGCCGTCTAACCCCATCTACCCCATACTCTAGCCATTGACACTGGCACTCTTTGGCATACCGATGCCCACTGCGGCTGTCGCGCCGGCATCGACAGGCAAAACCGCACCCGTTATCCATCTCGCATGATCTGAACTCAGAAAGGTTACAGCGCATGCTGCGTCCCAGCCATTGCCTTCTGTACCCAGCAAACTTCTCTTCTTTCGAGCTTCTCGGGCTTCCTCGCTCATGCCACTTGCATACATCATGGGTGTGTAAAGCATCTGCCTCGTGTTAGTATGCTGCTATGTCGCAGGAACGAAGGACGTACGCCCGGACAGACACAGTTCACCCTAATGCCATCGGGGGCGTGATGCGCAGCCATCGCTCTCGTCATATTCACCACCGCACCTTTGCTGGTCGGATACAACAGATGTGGTGTGCCGCCTTTCAGTCCAGCCACGGAACCCATGTTGACGATGCTGCCTTTCGTTTCGCCTTCGTTCTTTTGCATGGCCGGTACACAGTACTTCGTCATCTGCACCATGCTGCTCACGTTGATCTCAAGTCCCTTTGCCCATGCCTCCATGTCGACATCAACTGCCGTACCTGGTGCACCGCTGACACCTACGTTGTTCACCAGTATATCCAGCTTGCCGAACTCTTGCATTGCTTTATCCACTGCTGCCTCGCAATCGCTGGCCCTGGTAACATCGGCCTGGATTGCAATTGCTTTTCCGCGATGCGGTTTTGACGCTGCCATTTCCGCAGTCTTCTGCGCCCAGTCCATGTTCAAATCCAGGCAGAGAACATGGCAGCCCTCATCGGCGAGCATGATCGATATCGCACGGCCGTTTCCTATTCCATCACCATCGCAGCCTGCTCCAGTTACGATCGCGACTTTATTTTTGAGGCCACGGGACGGAGGCTCTGACGGTACTGTAGCCATTTTTTCGACCTAGGTATATGACGATACTTCCGGCTGGTGTTCGCAGATGACGATTTGGACCACGGAGTTCAAAAGCAGATGCACATAGTCATCTCCGGGCCAAGAATACTAAAATCGAAGCGATTAGGTCAATGGTGGTGGGTCAACAACAAGCAGCCCCCCAAAAAAGCAAACATGATGTTGGTGGCATGCATGTGAGGACCTCGGTACATTGCGGGGTGACGCTAGCGACCGGGCGCAGATATGACGAAGGGGACTTGACGCGTCAATGCTAGGCTCGTACGAAGTTTGGCTACATCTCGGATACATATCGCTTCAAGCCCTCCACTCAAGGCAGCAAATCTTTTCTCATCAAATCGACAATGGACTTCTCTCAGTACGGCGGACCGTCAGAAGAATGGTTGGCAGTGGAGAAGACACTGCCCGCGCGAACTTTCGACATCTCGTTGGATCCAATCGTTCTGCGTAATGCGGTCAATTCTGAGCGAGAAGCACGCTCTGCAGAGGTGAAGCAATTGTTCGCACCACATGTCCAGACCAAAGATCACGCCATTCCGACCCGCGATGGCTCAACCATCGAAGCTCGAACCTATCGATCCGTGAAGAAGGATGCATCCGAGAAGCTTCCTGTATACCTGTACTTCCACGGTGGAGGCTTCATCTTCGGTAACACGTTTGGCTTGTGATGTATCAAGGTCTGTTGGCTGACGATAAGACAGGATCGCTGAGTAGCGAGGACCCGCTATGTGCGCAGACCGCGATCAAGACTGGGGCTCTGGTGCTGAATGTCAACTACCGCCATACACCAGAACACATCTTCCCAACCGCCTGGAATGACACTCATGACGCATTCGTCTGGCTGCACAAGAACATCGACATGCTCGGAGGCGATCCATCCCGAGTCCTCGTCGGCGGCATCTCAGCAGGCGGCAACCTAGCTGCTTCCCTGACTCTAGAGCAGCACCTTGGAAAGAGCGAAGACATCGCAGGTTTACCCACAATAGCCGGCCAGATCCTAATCATCCCAATGCTTGCCCACCCAGCTACCTACGATCAAGGGCCAGGCAAGCTACTCAACCCCTCAACCTCATCCTACGTTGAGAACGAAGATGCACCGGTTTTGCCGAAGAAAACCATCGACTTCTTTACCAAGCTGCTGAAGATCGGGGATGTAGATCTCAAAGACACGAAGATGAATGTTGTCAATGCGACGGAAGAGGAGGTCAGGGGTTTTCCTCCTACGGTGTTTGGTATTGCTGGCTTGGACCCGCTGCGCGATGAGGGGCTGTTGTTTGCGAAGAAGCTGTCCGAGGCTAATGTTCCGACGTCTACTACGCTGTTCAAGGGCGTTCCGCATGGTCATAGGCGCTTTGGGAAAGCGTTGAAGGCGTCTGAGCATTGGGATCAGTGTGTTGATGAGGGTATACTTTGGGTGCTTTCGAAACCGGAGGCTACAGGGAAGTTCGATGTGAGAGTACCGTAGTGCTCACGCGACTACAAGAGAACTGTTATGTCTAGTCGGGATGTTTTCATGTTGTACATGCCGTGTGTGCCCGCCATTGGTCTCGTATAGGCGTCCAATGAGCTCGAATCGCTTAGCTAAGAGGCACAAGACACGTCACACTTGCCCTTGCCCAGCCTCGACCTTCTCAGTGATACAAACGCGTGCCACCCTATAAACATTATTATCCGCATACTAGCGACCCTAGTCACAGACCAATGCGGCTCCTTTATATTGAGTCCAATGATGCTCTCGATCCTACCCTACAGATCTCGTTACATGAGGTTAGAGGAGAGATTTTACCCCGATACGCGATCCTTTCGCATCGATGGCGTTGGCAAGAAGTTCTATACGATGACATCGCATCCGCGGACCGCAGTGTTGCACGAAGCAAGAAGGGTTACGCGAAGCTTGAGATGGCGTGCCGTGTTGCGCTTGAACACGGTTTTAGCTATTTATGGAGCGATACTTGCTGCATCGACAAGAGTTCCAGCGCCGAGCTATCAGAAGCCATCAACTCGATGTACAGTTACTACACCAATTCAGCGTGGTGCATTGCATACTTGGACGATGTGGAGCTCGGTGAAGATCGAATTCTCTCCAGATCAGCTTGGTTTTCAAGAGGGTGGACTCTGCAAGAGCTAATCGCCCCGCTCAAGTTGACTTTCTACGCAAAGAGCTGGAAAAAGATCGGCACAAAAGCTGATTCGTGCCATCAAGTCTCTATAGCCTCCAACATTGATGTGGAGGTCCTGAGAGACCGCGAAGCCATCAGTGCTATGGGCGTATCGGAGAAGATGTCGTGGGCGGCGAGCAGAGTCACAACGCGACCGGAAGACGAAGCGTACTCCCTAATGGGTATCTTTGGTGTGAATATGGCAACTTTGTACGGAGAGGGTAGAAGCAGCGCTTTCAGGCGACTACAACTCGAGATCCTGCGGACAAGTACTGACCATTCTCTTTTCGCCTGGGAGTCAGAGACAGTCAACGGCGACATGCTAGCGCCAAGTGTGTCGTGCTTCTCTAACGGAGCAAGCTACGAACCATGCGAGTATCCACCCGGTCTAATTGATCGTCTAGACCCGATGCCAAATTACGACATGACCAACGCGGGACTCCGCATACAGCTGCCTTTGAGACGTGAGCCAGAGCGCATAGGGCTATACTCTGCATTTCTGGCATGCAGGCGCAAGTTTGCCCCTGAGTTCCCTGTTGCCATATACATCAGCCGATTCGGCGGGTCTTTAAATTTCCCTCGCTTTTGTAGGGAAGTCCTGTATGGTGAAACCCTGCACCTTGAACAGCGACTGGGGTTCCAGAATGAATTACTGTATGACTTTGGGTCTAAGCCAATATGGATTGCAGGTGAGAACCATCTACCAAGACAGCCCTTTGAGGTTGCATACCCGCTCATGTATCCAGACTGGTAGTAATCGCTAGGGGTCTCTGCGGCTGGAGTCGCGGTGGTGAATAGTCTACGTTTCGTAACTAAAAGCTCCATCACGACGTCAATATGACACTGGGGTGGAAGTCGTATTCCAGTGTACCTAGATATTTGTCTACGAGCGTAGTGCGCTCAGTATCTAGCAATAAACTCCAGCACACCCTTCACAAATGCCTCAGGATTCTCTTCGGCAATATAATGCGCCGCCTCCTCGATCGTAACCATCTCCGCGCCTTCATGATACTCGTTCGCCATACCGTCCGCAGACTGCGCCAGCATAAACTTCTCCCCATTCATAAGCATCGACGGGACCTTAACCTTCCCATGTTCAGCAACCCAAGTCTTATTTTCCTCAGCGTCCTTCTCAAACGCGCGATAAACCTCCAAACCCGCCCTGATAGCACCAGGTTGCGAATAAGCCAGGGCGTAATGCTCGAGATCAGCGGGCGAAATGGCCGCACTGTTATACGAGATCTTATCGAAGAAGTGCTTGAGGTATTCTCGCTCTTTGCCCGCAATCAAGAACTCCGGTAAATCGGGTACCTGGTGAAAGACAAAGTGGAAGACGTCGGGTGTGCCTTTGACGTTCTCGTAGCACGAAGTACCGGGTAGCGGGCATTCACCCCAAATGACGCTAGCTACATCCTCGGGGTACCGCGATGCGTACGCGAATGCGATCATGCCACCGATGTCATGTCCCACAACATGAATCTTCTCCTTGATACCGAAGTGCTCTTGAACCAAGATGTGCAAGTCTTCCGCCATCTGCGTCTTCTGGTAGCCTGTCAAGGGTTTGGAAGATTGTCCTGCGCCCCGGTAGTCGGGCGCGATGACGCGATAGCCGACCTCTGATAGCGGCGTGATCACATGACGGAATTGGTATGATGTCTGAGGGAAGCCGTGGATGAGGAGTATGACACCTTTTTTTCTCGCCAAACGTGGTGGTACGCATTCGATGTAGTTTAAACGGATCTGTTCGTTGGATGTCGTGGTGATTGACGCGATTCGTTGATGCCAGCGCGAGCTGTCGATGGCTGGGGATTGCGGGAAGGCCATGATGGATTGATGGTTGAGAGATAGCGGGTCTAGTATGAGGTAAAGAGGAAATATATGTATCCGTTGAACTGCATGCTCTCATGAGAGGCCGTGAAATGATTTGTAAGGCATGACGCTCTGGCAGCGTCATGCCCAGCCTCGAGGCGTGCGGATTGGAGCTGTGAATACTATTGGTATTGTTTTCCACCCCATCCAACGACTTCTTCCTAGAAATTCGATACGCTTCTTGGCTTATAGATGTCTTCCTTAGGTCGGAGCACCATGGCGATTCAGGCGTTGTCCTTGAAGTGATGGTCTCAAAGACTATTCCGTTTCAGGCCTAGCTTCTAAAGTGTTGATACCCAGGTATTTCGACAATGATCTTGTTATACAGAATGGCCATTGCAATGACACCTGGATTTTGAAATGATTTGTCCGACGGAAAATTGTCTACGACGCGCAGTATACTGGCCGTTTGGTGCTGGTCTGTCAGACTTCTACTGCGCCATTGGGGAGTGGCGTCTGATGCTAGCTTCGCGGCGACGGCAATCCGAATTGTGCAGTAGTTCGTCCGGTAACCCGTCTCTTATCTCCTGGAAGGTATATCCACTATCCGGGTTTGATGAGCGGCTCCATCTCTCTTCATGTCTCGGATATCTTGAGTCAGGCCGAACGCTATCCTTTGCGCGATTCAGTCAGGATGCCGAATTACATGAGCATGGAACCCAAGAGGGTAAAGAGTAGATTTAACAGAGAGAAGCATTGACGCCTTGTGGGAGCAAGAATGAAGGATCGGGATTAATGGAACATCTGAAGATGCGCATGCGACACGCTAGAAGGGTTGCCCCACCCTTTGCCGTCTTTGCCTGAGATCCGCCTGAGGACCCTTGTCGACATGACCAATGAAACCGCGCTTGGGTTGATGCCATTCTGCCGGAGACGTGCAGCTGCGGTAACGTCTGTCGCATGTCGTTCCTGTATCAACGCCAACTGTATCAGGCCAGTAACATGGCGAAATTCACCCCCGCAATGCCGCAACTTTCCTCAGGTGCGAAAAGCAACCGGCGCGTATCGTAGTAATCAGGACGGCGACATGGCGATATATAAGGTCGCAGGGGATGACGATGCATCCAGCAGTAAACCCATCACAACCTCTTACGCCTTAAAATAACCAAAACCGACAATGCCGACACACGGAGAGAGGAACCTCGAGCTCGGGAACCAGGCGTATGCTGCTTCCTTCGACCAGGGCCATCTAGCACTACCACCCAGTCAAAGATACACCATCGGTAAGCACCTGCAACCACATTTCCAGCCATCGGCCGCTAACATGACGCGTCAGTAACATGTATGGACGCGCGCATCGATCCAACCGCCGCCTTTGGCATCCCTCTCGGAGCCGCCCACGTAATCCGCAACGCCGGCGGCTGTGTACACGACGCGTTTCGATCCATCGTCATATCGCAACAACTCCTCGGTACAAGAGAAGTCATCGTCGTAAAGCACACCGGATGCGGCATGCTCACATTCGACAACCCGACTGCGAAAGCCGTGGTTATGAAGAAGAGGGGAGAGATTGCCGCGAGGGAGGTGGAGACCCTCGACTTCCGGCCTTTCCGTGATCTGGAGATACAAGTCAAGAAGGATATACAATGGCTGCGGATCAAAGCGATCGAAGAGAACATTCGGTTCAGTGGGTGGATCTACGATGTCGAGACGGGGAAGACGACGAGGGTGGTGTGAATTGCTTGGAGGACATGATTGAGCTTGCGATATACCCATAATAATGTAACAACATCTTGTGAGTCTTGCCTGCCAACGTACACATCAGCTCAGGTGTAACTATCGTGATGTGGAGTTGTCGGTGCTCCCTGGCGCCTGCCCAGGTGTGTAACAGTCAATACCTACCTTTCCTCTTATGAGCTAGCGGCGTGGCAGCCTAACGCCCTGTCAACTTCCGCGACGCCCTTTATCTCTGCGCTCATACAACAACAAACCTCAATTTCATTGCATTCACTCACTCACACGCACTTCAAGCAGCCAAATACACTGATCGACCATGAGCTCCAAGAACGCGTCGCTTGAGGGCTTACCAGATGAGCTGGTGCAGGAGATAATCACACATCTCGACGCCATTCGCTCTTGCGACACGCTCTTCAGGTTCACCAAACACCAGAAAGACGTGGCGATAGAGGCAAATCGTCAATCCGACAACCACATCCGCAGGCTGGCCTTGTACAGTCTCTGTCTGACATCTCGTTGTCTAAAGCGAATGGCTACCCCAATCCTGTACGCCTCGTTCATAGGGACCGCCGCCGAGCATGGAACCAAACCTCTCCAGTTGTTTCGCGAAAGAATCTTAGACTCCTCTGACTCGGGTGAGGAACTCAACAAGTATCTGAAGTACGTGGAGATTCGACGCATGGACAAGAAGTGCCAGAACGACAGCATACCTCCGCACACCGTTGCACAACACTACCTTACCATGCTAGCCGACGTTGTCAAACAGGCGGTCAACCTGCAACACTTGTCGATCGAGAATATAGAAGACCATGAGCGATCCTTCTGGAGACACTTGGTCCCTGGACGGGAAACCACGCTTTCGCCTACGCCCAACCCAGGAGCCGAACATGTTTTTAGCAAGCTTCAGACATTGTGCGTCAATACAACTCTCCAACACTACGGACTCCACGCCGAAACCATTTCGTTTGATCAGATTTGCTCCGTGGTATCGACGGCGCCCATGCTCACCGACTTCCGAGCGCGTAGCGTCGTGGCACGACCGCCAGCATCGATGCCTCAGCTTGGCTTATGGAAAACGCTGCAGCGCCTCGAGATCACCGCATGTCGTCTCGAGATAGAGGCGGTAGCCAGTATTCTATCGGCATGTGAAGGCTTAAGACATGTTGTCTGTATATGGATGCCTCTCGAGGATTTTGAAGGGTCGCCATCCGACCTGTACGCCAGCCTGTTACGTCACGCTTGAATCCCTACATCTTGATATTCGTGAAATCATGTTCCGATCAGAGGAGGAGGCCTCGGACTCTGATGTAGACGAAGATTACGTAGAGATGGTACCGCTCAAACCTCTCGGCACTCTTCGACCATTCGAACGTTTGAGCAAGTTGGTCATATCTCAGAACTGCTTGCTCGGTGCTTCTACTCCGTACGCTGACTTTTCGAGGAACGCGCCTCCAATAGCCGAGCTGCTATCACCGTCTCTCACAAGCTTCACGATGCTGATTGGTGTTGAAAGCCAATATCGGGCGGGATACAAGAGCTTGGATACATCGACTGTCCTTCGGGATTTCGTCGCGGAATGCGGGGCATCTGATCTGAGCTTGGAAGACGTGAGTTTCCAAGCTGAGTTTGAGTTGTCTGCGGCGCCCAAGACTACGAAGGCGTTCCTTGACATTGGTGTGCGTTATGAGCAAGTATTAGAGCGGTACTGGGTCCACGAAGCCTTCAGGTAGAAGTTGTCGAATGGCTATGCGCTTTGCGTACTGCGAGTCGTTGAGAATACGATGGTTGGTGACAACATCAGGTACCGAAGGACACGACAAGCGCACTAGAAAGCATCAAACGACACTGTCAAACGCACAAATCGGGTTATATAAGCCTATGTCCTCCTAGTAGCCAAGCTTCGGTGACCTTGCGCGACGCGAATGCGGACATTCATTGGGACAGCTTATGTGGGCCTACATCCATTGCCGTCGATCTGACGACGTGATCTCGCCTTTACTTACTTGAGTGGTGGCCATTGCGGCCATAGACCTTCACGTACTAGCGCCCCTCACCAGGCGATTGTATATCCATATAAGCCTGACATTCTACTCTATACTTACACTTCCCCATCCTCCACCTTGATAGGCATCTTGTCGACACACCTCATTAGCCTTTACTTGCTCGAATACTCCTTGAGCCAGTCCCACAACAGCGGCATCATTTATCTTGACACTCAATTACGACAAGCAATCGATTACTGACAGTCTGGGCAGTCCTATCAACAGATATCCCTCAACATGGCGACTTCAAGCGACCAGGCCACCCATCTAGACATCGCGTCGCCCTCAGACATCAAGACCGTCGCTGCGAATACAGAGACACATGATGGAGAGATCAAGGATCAAGAGAACACACTGGACTTTAATCCTTCGCCAGTCGTGGCTAAAGTATCTGCGCCCGAGGCCGAGAAGTCAAACGACACCCAAGACCAAGTCGGTATCGAAGACTCGACAGGTGTCAAGACGGCTACTCTTGGTTCTCCCTTTCCCTCGCCCAAACTTGTTGCAGAGGACAGCAAGAGCAGCGGCTCTCTTGAAGACGGAGAGATCGTAGAGCAAGATCTTGACAATGACGTTGGAGCGATCCCTGTGACTGTGCAGGAGCAACAAGAGCAGCTTGATGATAAGGAGAATACCAAGCTTGGTATGTCCCACTCTCACCACTAACGTCATTTGCTAATGTAAAGAAAAGCGTCTCCAATCGCCAAGAAGGAAGTTCTTCTGGCATCGCCCCCTGGACTGCACGTTGAGGCCACCAAGACCGACGTTGACATCGAAACTGAGGACAGCGACTCCAAGACAGACACACACGCGAACGTCGAGGCGCCGAAGTCTTCGAGGCCAGCTCATAGTCTACCTCCGCACATGCGTCCTGACTTCCAGTCGCCTCCATCCCGCCTCTTCGGCCTTCAAGACCCGAGGGTAGGCCGCTCCACAAGCCTCTGTATGTATGCAAAACTAACGTATACAGCACATGATGTCGCCAAACGAGGTCAATCGATTCAACGACGCTCCGCGCGCCCCTCGCTCCCACTTCAACTCCCACGGATCCCGAGGAGGCGACCACGGCGATCGCGAACAAATTGTCCGCATGAACGCACAGCTCATGAAGCTAAAGAACGAACTCGATGCCGAACGCAACAAGGGCGTGCGTCTCCGCAAGTCTATCGAAGCTGAGCAGCAACAAAAGGTCGAAGCCGCCTCATCTGTCATGTTGACGAACCTCCTCCGCGACCAAGCCACAACCCTGACGCTCAAGTCCAAAGTCGAAGCCCGAGAGCGCGACCTCGATGAGCGCGAGCAGAAGATAACACAATTCGAAGTCTACCTTTCTGAAGGCCAGAAACAGCTTATGTACGCGCTAGAAGAGAACGGCGATAGACCGATGAGTGCCGTGCAGATGGAACATGCGCGCCGCGAAGCTGAACTCCATGCGCAAAAGGCCGTGGCTGATATGAACGGAAAGTTAAACATCAAGATCGAAGCACTCCGTCTCCGCGAAGCAGCCCAACAGATGCGCGAACAGAACTGGAAGGCTATTGCTCGCGAGCAACTTGAAGCAGAATTTGCGGACAACTCCATCACTCATGAGAAGGCTGATGAGGTTACGGAAGAGGCGTACAACGATGGGTTTGGTGCGGGCAAAGAGGCGGGTCGTAAGGAAGCACTCAAGGAGTCTCACCAGCGCGGTTTTCTAGAGGGATATGGCGCGTGTCATCGTACGCAGGTCGCTCTGAGTAAGATGCGGCAGGGCCTTATCGCGCGCGATGATCCTGAGCTGGACTTCCTGTACGATGCCAATCATCCGCACAACCTCTGGAACATCGGAGAGATGGTTGGACGCTTACAGCGAGACGACAAGATCGCGCTGACAAAGGAGGATGTGAAGAAGGAAACTTCAATCGAGAAGAAGACTCCCGCGCCTGTCCAGGAAGATGATGATCCCGAAGAAACCTCCAGGATAAACCGCAAGATCGACGGTCGTATGAACGGTCATACCAACGGCCACACCAACGGCCCTAACAGCGGTCATCCCAACGGCATCAACAGCCACAACAACGGCACCATGATCCACAAGCGCGAAGAACCCGCCATCAAGATGCCTCCTCCCCGCCCGACCTTCGCCGCCGAACTCCGCGGTCCTTCACTCACGCACAACGGACACATTGTTCTTGCTAACAACGTCGCGTCGCCTGTTGCCAAGGAGACTGGTCGTCCGATCATCAAGTATGAGGATGAGGGTGTGAATTTGATTGATCTCATGTAAATGGGGTCTGGTTGGGATGAAGGAAATCCGAGGTCTCATGAGTGGGGGGTCTGGAGTATGGAGATGAGTGGAGGCAGGAGATCGATTTAAAAGCTTGCGATTACATTATTGATATGGGATCGAATGACAGCGTTCGGGTTTCCGACATATGGGATGATATTAGAGATATATATGAATGATCTAGAGTATGTATGCGAGAGGTGATACAAGACTATATCACCATGTGCTTTAGCCTCCTCTTCTCATTGTTAATGACTACAGTAAAATTTTCTCTATTCCTTCCTCTCTAGTCAGACCATGTTGAATCTCTCCCGCCCGTCTATCCTTTATACTTTTACAACCGTCTGTCACACTTTCGAGAACTCCGATCTACCGTCTACACCGCCCATCAATCCTGCATAACACTCCACCCCTCACCCCTACCCCTCCCACCAAACCCCCGCCCACCCCTAACAACACGCCCATGCCCCCTCTCCCCCAACATCTTCCCCTGCGGCGCCTCAACCTTGCCAAACTGCTCCGCCTTCTCTTGTGCCTCCGCCGACAACTGCGGTCCATTGCTCTTCGCCTCCTTCTTCTCGTCTCCTGCGTCAGCACCCTCCCCATCCTTAGCAGGCCACTTCTTCGCGAAATCCTGCGCTCCACCCCCAACAGCCCTCATCTCTTCATCCACCACCCCATCCTCCCTCGCCGCATACTTTCCCACAATCTGCAGCAACTGCTTTTCCCCTTGGCCCTCCCTCGCCTTCTTCCACGTCTCAAACTCATCCCACCACCACCCATGCGTCACACCGTCTTTACCCAAATACCCCGCTTTGCCGTCCTCGTCCAGCCGCGCCACCCACGGCTTATCCACGATATAGTGCAGCACAGCGACCTGGTCATCGCGCCAAATATTCTCATGCCAATACCGCCACGTCTTGAGCGCATTCGTTTTCCAGCTCAAACTGCTCCAGCGCCCGTCGAAGGCTTCGTTGAGGAAATCCTGGTCGGGGAATTTCATAGCGCGTAACTTTGTATTGCCCAGTTCCTCGAACTTGCTCAGTACGAAAGAAGACAGTTCCTTGCTAGGCCGATAGAGAAAAGTGCCAGAGTTGAAGTTCGATAATGTGTATGGTTCCGGCTTAACCTCTGCTAGCTGATCCGGTGCGGTGAGTTTGGCAATAGCGCAGTTCTCTGGATTCCATTCCGCTGGGGCCCAGGAATCGTGGTCGAGGTTGCAGACGCAGGTGTGTACGGCCATTGTACGCATGCCATCGCCTCCCTTCAAATACTCGTCGTTTTCTTCGTTGAAGATCAAGGGCGAAGGGTTCGAGAAGATCATCATATCAGCATCCAACCAACAAATCCTCTCAAACCCCCCTCCGGGCATATCCCACAAATCGAACACACGTAGTTTCGTCCATGTATCGATGAAGCGCTCGGCGACCATGCCGTGTTCGGTTCCATCTTCTGGCAGGCGGAGGTGTTCCACGGGGTGGAGGATTATGTTTGAGTAAGCGGCTTCGGCTTTGAAGGCGTTGATGCAGGTTTCTGGTAAGGTCTCCGGGGTGTAGGTTATTATGAGCGGGGTGGAAGGGGAGTGTTTGTGCAGGGTGTAGGCGAGGAGGATTGCGCCGGCTAGGTAGCTGGGGCGGGTGAGGAGGGTTACGTAGGCGTTTTTGCCTTGGTTGGCATTTTGCTGGTCTGCCATTGTGAGTACCGGAGAGTTCTGCGACTCGGAGCTTTGGTTGGTATTGATGGTTCAGGGGATACTGGCAGGGATATCGTAAGGTACATGCGGTTGAGAGGTGTTCACAGGTCCCACTATGGCTCTGACGTCACGACTCAACAATCCGAGGCCGGAAGGCACGACGCTTCTTATCGCAATTGGGTTATACACATCTTGTGCGAAATGAAGAACGAGGAAAAGATAGTGTTACAGGTTCAAATTACGGGTATCTCAAGAATCCTACGTCGCGACGGCCACTCCTACATGCACCAATCGTGCAATCCCCTAAAACTGCTTCCCATCCTCTTTCGCCAGCGCCTTGCCCCAGGCGCTCTCGAACGGATCGTCTGACTTGATCTCTTGTACATCCTGTAAAGCGGCAACCTCAGGCACCACGCTCGGCGCTGTTAGCTCGACAGGAGCAGGAGCAGATTGACTCAACACAGCAGCAGCCTCTGGGCTTTCGTACTCGAAGTTGCTGGAGTAGACGACAGCAGCGAACGCCTCAAGACCACCAACAGCTTCGATAGCAGCTAGGTACTCATTGTTGGCTCCGGTACCGATGCTGTGCGCCTGTCTGCAGAATACGGCTAAGCTGTTCGCAACCTTGGCCTTAATGTCGTGTCCAACAATCTCCTGCACACGAGCGTGGTTATCAGAGATGGGCGGGATCTTGTAGGAGAGCTGTGAAATCTTGACGTCGACGAGGTGGGAGAAGGCAGCGTCGAGGAGCTGGGTGAGGACATGTGTGAAGGCAGGCGAGTCGATGAGGTCAGAGGTTTCGTCGATGAGGCGGCGGAGAGAGGTTGTTGTTGTGGGTGATGTGGACTCGGAGGACGAGGTCATGCCGGATTCGCGGAGGACGTAGTCTTCCTGGTCTTGCGGTGGGAGGAGGAATGCAAGCCACTTGCATGTTCTGTGAGGGGTTAGCGGGTGTCATTTGAGATGAGATGGGGGTCCTACCTTCGCTCTTCCTCTGTTGCACCTTCGACCCTCTTGCGCACTTCCAGGGTAAGTTCCGACAATCTCTCCAAGGTCATCTCTTCTCTTGGGTTCACAAGCCCGAAGACGTCCTTGACTGCGGTCCGTACTTTCTCGATGAGCTCTATGCATCCCTTGTGTAGTAGCCACCAGCTCAAGCTGAGGTATCTGCGATTGGTCTCGAAGTCGTTGCCATATGCTTGCTCGAAGTTGTCGTCGTCGTTGTTCTCCAAGTTGATCCTTGCGCCTTCGGTTGTCGACTGCGGCGCGGCTAACGATACGACGGAGGCGAGGTAGTTTCGGCGGCCGAGGAGGTTCAGTTGAATACGCGTAAGAAGCGTGAGGAGAGAGAGGGTATAGATAAGGGTGAAGGCGCGTGTTATGGCTGGTCGCGTCAGTATTTCATGTCTCAAGGCCAACATGACGGTACTCACAGCTGATCTTCATCTCGCTCCATAGCTGCGCCTTGCTCTTCTTGCTCTTCCTGTCCTCCCTGACCTCTGGGATAGCCTCGGTAGGGCCCGTGCTGCTGTCACCCTCTGTAGCGATTTGGCTGGCATGGATGAAGCTATCCGTTTGGAGACTCCAGCTCCGTGCGTCATCCTCAGTCGTGTCTGCTACACTTGGGGGCGCTGAACTGGCAATCTCGCTGGGTCCGACACTCCGCGATAGGCGCTCTGCCTTTTGTCTCTGCAGCTCTTCCAGCACTTGTTCGACGGGGATGGCATCGAGTATGTTCTCGGTCGCGGTGGGCAGGATGGCGAGGACGGTGAAGGTGCAGTCTTCCTGGTTCTGCTCGAAGCGGCGGCGTAGACTGCATTGTCGTTAGAGAATGTCATGTGATGGACACGGTGTAGGCGGACTTCTCTTTGGCGATGCGATCATCGCTCATGCGCTGCCTCGCCTCCCCGAGCTTGCCCAGGACATACTGCCCCGCCAGATAACCCGCGCCGAGCACTCCGGCGCCGATGGCAAAGTTTGTGCGGTTGCGCCTGAGCCAGCGACGCGTGCCTTGTATCATGGTGATGGTTGAGAGGGCTATGCAGCCCGCGTACTCGGGGGTGGAGCAGGCGTCGCGTGTGGGGAATGTCGGAACACGACCAGAGATAACGCTGCGTTCCGGAAGGTCACGGGTGCGTCAATGCGGCTATGCGTAGCGTGAGGGTCGTCGTAATCCAATTAATCGTGTAGCGGTAACGTGTATGCCAGATGTGCAGTCGTGAAAGAGCAATGTTGGCGTTCAGCTTCCAGCGCATGCGAGGTTGGTGTCCGGTTGCACCAAGCCTTCGTGATTGGGCCGAGGTCCATTGCCCTTTCGGGATAGGAAGCCCTGGCCGCTTTCCCCCAGAATGTTGTCATCACCAAACCGCTTTCAGTAATCCGAGTCCCACACATGCTGCAACAGTTAAGCTGTGCTTCATCATGGGAATTTCCTAATGAATCAATGTGTTTAGCCACTCAGGTCCAGTGTCCAAGAAATAGTTGCATTTTGGATTGAATAAACACAGTAGCAATGCATTCCTCCTCCGCTATGGCTCATTGTAGCCTGTGTTCCACCTATCACAATCGCAAGCTCCAGCGTCCGCAGCGAATGTATTGAGTTGGAAACTCAAAAAAGAAGCAACATAATACATCAAATCGTAAGGCGTGTCGTATATTCGCTATCGTTAAAACGTATGATGCGGTGATCAAGCGAGCGTCGTCGCTGTTGGTGTCGTTACTGTTGTCTCGGGAATATCAGGAGAAGAAGTCGTGCTCGCAATTGGAGAGGATGCCTCGGAGCTGGATGGCGTGGCTGATGCTGGTGTTCTGCAAAGACCGTCAGAAATTGTGCGCAGTATGAGGTGTTGTTTCGTTTGCTTGGCCGTGAGAAAGAAGAAGCCGGTCTGGACGTTTGCTAGGTATATCCAGCGACATGACAAAGGAGACCGTGGGCGGACGTGGGGTAACGTCCTACCAAAATGAAGATAAGGCGGATTCCACAGCGAGCATGCAACCCGCATACTAGTAGTACTAAGCCTCCTAGTCACGACGGCAACACGACGCTGGACCAAGGCCTAAAGGAGATGCCGGTCGGCCATATATCATTTGAGAGAAGGAAAGATGGTGAACGGAAAGGGAATGGACGGAGATCGACTGATGCAAGCATCTTCGTTGTCGCGTTAGCTGCTTACTTTTAGTGCATGAACGTACCCGCGTGAAACGAGAATACGAAATCCTCTGCATGACAGCATTTCCCCCTCTCCCCCTTAGTTCCTGGTAACTAAGGCGGGAGTAGTAAACCTTGGTCAGGCTAACACAATCTCCGCTAACCGCTCCTGTCCCTTTAGAGGAACGATGGAGCTGGATATGCTGGTCGTCGAGATTCTGCCCGTGGGTTGAGAGCCAGGGAGTCGATCCTGCAGTAGACATGACAAACAAAGGAAGCTTCTTGCATGACAAGAAGCATGCGCAAGATGAAAAGCTGTGTAGAGCACAGGCTCTATACGAAATCCGGCTCCACGGCTCGGTTAAGTACAACCCTAGAGTATTTGGATCTCTTGGTGGCCACAAGTTCCCAGGTTATTGGATGAGGTATCGAGAGCCTTTGAGGCGTGGTGATAAGTAGGGTCGATTGTCATCATGGCTTGATGAATGGCAGGAAACTCTAGATACTCGTAGAAGGTCACCTGGGGTTAGCCTCACCAGATAAGTAGTCCATGGATTGGTTCCACGACGGATCAAACATATTCGGTGGATACTGTACCTCTCTTGGAGAGAGGCCTGAAAAGGTTGAGAACGAAGATGGGGCCCCATTCTGATCCAGTGGATTGTTGTAGCCACAATCATTGGCCTGGAATGTCTGTGGCTCAACGAATGAGGTTTGGTTGCTCCATTGATCGTCCTGGCTGGTTTGTGGAGCCTCTGTGTACGGTCCAGTCATGTGGGAAGTTACGTACCCCGACATCCCTGATTGACTGTCCTCCTGCATCCCGTGTACCTCCTGAGTCCATTGCGGGCTGCCGGGTACTGTGTTCGACTGTGTCGTTGGTGTTGTTCGAAGAGGCCTGCCTTGCTGCTGCGAAAGCTCTTGGGTCTGCTGGTGAGTGCGAGCAGGTTCTTCAGTGTTGAAGGCGGTCATCGACTCTGGGAGTGTTGCGCCAAGTCTTGCAACAAAGTCTTAGTATCCTGCCCGCGAACGCTGACTCCTATCACGATCTCTTACCTCTGCGAAACGGCCTTTTCCTCCTGCAAGGGTTTTGCCATCGATACTAGCTTTCCGATGACATGGGTACACTACATCTTGTTAAATCTGCCCTATTATCGCATCAAATCGTCTCATACCTTGCCCTTTTGTCGCTTGCACTTGTCACAAGCACCGACCTTTCTCGTAGTCTTGTAAGCAGATCGTTCGGCAGGCGTCATCTTGCGCTTCTTTTTCGGCTGCGTTGCAAATCCATCCACAATACTGAATACGTGTTGTTGGCCAACCCCGATCTGTGGTATATGGTCATCTAAGTGTACAGGAGAGCGATACGAGCTGCTCCGTGACAGCGAAGGTGAGACGCTTCTTCGATGCGTAAGCGCCGCCAGTTCTTCGACACCTGGCCTAGAAGCATCAAGTGCTGATAGTGCCTGGGTCTCATATGATGTTCCTGTTGTCGACTCTGTTGATTCATGTTGCATCGACTCCAGTTCGAGCCTCAGGAAATCTATGGCGGCCATATGTTTGCGCTGCCGCAAAGTCTTGCACTGTGGGTACTTTTCTTTCAGGAGCTCGTGTAGGGCATCTGAGTCAACTGGCTGAGTAAATTTCATGCCTGCCCATGGCGGACTTGCGTCGCTGGTAGGCTGTGATCGCTTGATGGGTCTCATTCTTGTTCTCAGCTACGTTCAGTATTAGCAGCATGCGGACATAAGAATTTTTGTGTGACCATACTTGGAAGGAGTGATCGTGATTTGAAGGTTGGGGTTATGATTATGGTGGGTTTCAAGAGGAAACCGGGTGTGTAAGTAGCAGGCCGGTGTGGCCAGGGTATGTAGAGTCCAGATCCTCAGGCCACGACAAGGTATGTAGAGGAGATGCGAATAGTCGCACGGTGTCTAAACACAGTCAATTGGTCATTGGCCGGCCATAACGGCGTCCTGAACAGGCCAAAAGAGCCTACTTGCCGGTACCCGTCCGGGTGTATGTATCGCACGGCCCATAGTAGGCTTGATCATAATTCGTGCGGGAATCGGCATCGCAAGACACCCTCACAGTGTAACCTTCGTGGCGCTGAGTAGCGGGCGCAGCACGATGGAGGACTCTCTCGCTTCGAGAATGAGGCGCGCTCTATTGGTCACAAGAGCTTCAGCCTGCTGTCATCTTGGGCGCTCCGACTTCAATGTTGGGCAGCGATGCAGATTCTGTGATCAATAGAGATGATGCCCGCTTCTCAATGGTAGTTGTAGTGCTCGTATACATATAGCGTGATTGATGCGTCGTGATGCGTGCGAATCCCGCGGGAACGCCTTGAAAGTCGGGGACGCGTCATGGCCCCGTGAGCCCTGGTCAGCCTTCCATAGCAATATGGTAATGTAACGTGAGAGCACCGAAAGGATGCGATTGTCGACATCAAGAGTGAGGCATGTAGCTAGTGGCTGTTAGCTGGTGACATGGAGCATGGAACGATCGGAGGGGCTGACTGGAAGGCATGGAAGGAACGACAGGGGAAGACAACACTAGTGCAAGATCGGCTAGCCTCAAATCGAGCAGCAACACACCAGATGACCCCGGGAAGCCTCTTGCCGTTTACCACCACGCAACGAGCAACCGTCTTTATGATTATTCCTGCGCAGTGCATATCAGCGGTTTGATTCGAGTCATTGTCTGAGTCTTCCCACAGTAACAACATCCGCGCGTTGCTCACAGCGACAGTAGCCACAATGTGCTCCGGACGCTAATCATGGGTCACCCACGGTCTGAGTGATAGCCAAATGGGTGCAGCAGATTCGCGAGAGCAGAGTACTGGTTGCGAGCTTCAAAAAGGTTTTTGTCGTGTACATATTAAGCGATCGACCCTTCTACTGGACGCGTAGACGTGCGTAAAGTCAAACGATTTGCGGTAGGGGAACTCAGGAGAAGCCATGTTTGTCGACTAGTGTTAGCAACAGAGTAGTTGATGTAGCATGCAGGATAACATCTAGCAAGCGCTCGCGACGATGAACAAGCTGCTTCCAACATAGGCCCTTCATGCGGGGTAAGCACATGTCGGCAGTCACAGCGCAAGGCGGCTGCGAGAAAGTGCGCGTTGACGATAGAAAACCGTGGCATTAGTAAGAAAGCTACATAATATTATATACCCATGACTGCTTTTGCGTAGCGTTAGTGGCGCTATAGATTAGTTAAAGATCAAGAAGATGAGATCATCAAGCGTAGTGTGAGAGCTTCCTTCGCTTTCCCATGACATGAGTTGCACTGCGCACACTCGGCGCGTCATCATGAACCCACACATCGTAGGCCGGTACGTCGTCGTCCGACGAGTGGGTAGGCTGACGAAGGAACTCAGGCGGCGTCTCATATACGAGTATCGAATCGTGACCTTGATCCCCAGCCCATTGTCGTTGATGATAGACCTCAAGGGGCGTCTCGCTTACCAGAACGGAATCATGATCTGGGGGTGGTGGTAGATATTCGAAGTGTTCTTGCTGTGAGTAGTCGTTCGTAACACCGTTCAAGCTCGCTTCGGAACCCTCGTGGTCATCATCTGCATCTTCACGTGAACGATACATACCTGTTCCAGTCGCGCTTGTGACCGAGAGTGATTGACGCTGTCCGTTCTGATCGAATGGGTCACTGTTGTCGTATGATGGAGCCTGCAATTGACTAGCGAACTGTGCTGCTTCATGGTCTTGCATGATGGACGGCAATGGGGTATTTGCACGCCAGCGCTGGGACGAAGGCTTCCGCAGCGTGTCTGTAGGCTGGCGAAAAGCGAAGTAGCGTGAAGTCGTTGCTGGAACCCGACTTCCGCCGACCATGCCAGCAGCGACACTGTTCACCATAGACTTGGGAATGATCTCGACCAGATCATGGCTCGTTTTGCGAGGTTCCCAATCTACAATGGAGTCCGTATACATTTCCTCAAGGTCTTCGTGGTAGGAGGAGAACCAATCATGCGCAAGAGCTTCCGACGCTGTCATTCGGTCCTGTTCCTTGAGTATAAGCAGATTCTTGACAAAGTCTTTCGGTCGGTCGCCGACGCCGCCCCACGATGGATGATGCGGATCGTCCAGGTGACTTAGGTCACAGATTGCTGCAAGACCCATGATCACAGCTTGAGGATTCGTGTGGTACTCCGGGTGTCTGCGATCAGTGAACATTGTGTCTCCGGTAAGTAGTGTAGCTGCAATCGTGCCGATGGACCACATGTCGACAGATCTTGAGTAGCCGTGCTCGGCTGGAATGGCCCTATTGCGCTTGTGAATCTCAGGCGCCATGTACTCCAAGGTACCCACGAGCGAGAACATCCGTTGGTACTTGTTGGCCTTCGCTGGATTTTGGCTGCTCTTCCCTGGGAGAAACCTAGCACTGCCAAAGTCGGTGATGACGACGCGAGCACTGTCCTCGAGAGACGACATGAGTATGTTGTCCGGCTTTAGATCTCGGTGTACGACGTCTTGGTCGTGAAGGTGCTTGATTCCGTTCAAGATCTGGTAGATAATAGTCGCGGCCTGCAGACTGTCTATTTGGCCCTCCTTGTACTCGATGAAGGAGAACAAGTCGCCGCCTGTGACGAGCTCTTCGAAGATGTAGATGGTATTGTTACTCCGAAAGACTTTTTCGATGGTGATGATGTTCGGATGGCTGAGGTCTTTGAGAATGTCAAACTCGCGGAAACACTTGGTGACCCTGGTCGGCAGTTGCTGCTTCACTGACTTAGGATGCTTCGCTCGCTTCCCGGTAGGAAGACGTAAGTTCGACAACGCCAAGGTGTCATACATGTTGTCTAGTCGAACGATCTTGCACGCAAGTTGTCGCTGTGTCTCTTGATTGATGCCTACAAGGACTTTGCCATTACCACCTTCGCCGAGCAAGCGACCGGTGAGGAGGTAACGCGAAGCAAACGTTTGTCTCTCTCGCTCCTGGATGTCAGTCAACTTCACAAGCTCTACCGGCGTCCTCGAGCAGTAGATCAGGGTGACGGTTTCTGAGATGCGAAGCTCATCCCCTTCCTCTAAGAGGAAGGTACTCTTGGTACCCATCAGGATGCCTGCGTCTTGGAGCGCTGTGTACTCCGAGTTACTCTTCTTGAGGTGAGTGCCATTTGAAGAGATATCAGTTGCATAGACGAACGGTGCGATCTTGGCGATTGGGTTTTGTTCGTAGAGAATGCAATGGATGCGAAGATGCTCCCTTGAAATGGTGAGGTCATCGGCCCACGAGTAACGACTGTGGTAAGGATTAGAACAAACTCACAACACAGCGAGGAAGACAGTGCTCTAACCAGAGCTCTGGATCCCTCCCGAGATTGAACTGCTCATTCCCGCACACTTCGATCCTGCCTCCGTGCGTTCCTGCATGCGTTAGTCTGTTGATCATGAATCGAAGGACATCGACTCACCATAAGCACTATCACCCCCGACCTTGATCTGCAACCATGCCACTGCTTCACCTGCCATCGTAACACACTCCTCCGCCACCGATAACACTGCCCTGGAATGATGTTGGTAATGACGCGACTGAGGTTTGACGTAAGGCAGGTGACGCGGCGCGCGTGAACGCTTGGCGCCTGCCTCAGGGTTGGGCGCTAAGCCGTTCTAGCTAAGCGAGCCCCGCACCCACCTAGGTATTTCGACTCGCTGAGCTCCCACCTTTGTTCTACACTCACGACACTCATCTCGACAGCAATGTAAGTTCTATATCCCAGGCCATGGCGGCGCTGGCGACACTCAATTGACCGCAATGGTTGCTCTTCGAGTGTCCTTGCACCCGCCGGCGCCTCTACACTCTCAAGTGCAGCCGCTGACCTCATACCACAGCCCGCCGACAAGATGAGAGCCAAATGGAGGAAGAAGCGCGTTCGCCGTCTCAAGCGCAAGAGAAGAAAGACTAGGGCTCGTTCGTAAGTTCTACCACATCACCACCGCCTGCTCCCTCGCATCTAACAACCCCCCAGCAAATAAACGTCTCGCCCCTCAATCTCAGCATCACCCACCTCAGTTCTGAACGAAAATGATCACTGAACGACACGTTTCTACGCACAACCTTCCGACCGGTTCGCAACTCACTCTACTCCACCGCGCGATTCGGCCCTCAAGCTACGTCACACGGCGGACTGCGGCACGCGAGCTTTCAACTACTACTTCGGGAGGTGACGACTGTGCTGGACTGAGGAATGTTATGGAATGCTGGTCAATCGCCTGAATGGCACATTGGGGTTCTCTGGGAGTTTACTTGAACACGATTACGACGGTCCCTCTAACACCGGCTCGCTACCTCTTGTGGAGGCTTGCCTTTGACTGACACGTCGCCATGTGGACATGCGATAACGGAATCAAAAATGCTTCACGACAATATTGCTTCCTTTGTGCGTGATGTAACTTGCTATGACGTGATGCGAGGGCCTTGATATGATTCAATGTGCGCGAACCATGTCTTAACCGACAACTGTGTAAACAGACCACGCCGACGATACTGATACTCGCTCCACACGCCTGAGGTTCTAGACTTCTCACTTGAACCCTTGCATAAGTATACTCCAAGGTGATGGACAACATCAGAAGAGTTGAGGTTCATTGCGCCACCATCTCAACTGTTATGTTGCGTCATCACGCTTTCACTAGACTACGAATAAACAATAATCACCAAGTCCATGCGCATACTCAAGATACCAATATATTCAATCAAGTCCAAGTCCACGGATTTACCAATCCATGTGATCTCATTACTCCTACACCAAGCCAAGAAGATCGAAAGTCGCAATAACAAAGTCCAGCTAATATCATAAACCCCATCCCCACCTATCCAAAAACCCCATCCAACAAACCCATACCCATTACCCTGTCCCAATCTCCCATAGCTCCCTCCGTCACACCGACGAACCCGAAACACACATCAAGCCCAATCTCTCATCTCCCTACCCACCCTCTCAAACTCACCCCCTCGCTTCTTATCCCGCTGCTGATGCACTTCGCGTACAACATGCACACTCCTTCCGTGACCATGACCTTCATTGTTCATCCCAGCGGAAGGGGGAGAGGAGGAGATGTCTTCGGCCCAGGCGCGTGTGTGGACGCCGGAGGGGAGGGTAGGGGTCGGGGGTTTGGTTGGATTTGTGTTTGTATCGCCGGTAGTGGTTGCGTCGGTGGTGGAAGGGTTGGTACGATCGGTGGGGTTGGTGGAAGGATTGCTGGATTTGGAGTTGATCTCGGTGATGTTTCGGTAGGAGAAGAGGGGGAGGAGAGGCCCGTTTAGAGAGGGGCGGGTGAAGTAGCGGGAGAAGAATGTGGGGCGGGGAGGTGTTGGGGATGATGATGGAGAATGGGAGTGATCGTGCTTCTGCGCAGACATGTCTTGGTCGTTCTTCTGTGAGATCAAGGTATCTTGCGTTGTGACGCTGTGTAAGCGGGGGATCGAATCGAGAGCCACGGGGTTGTTATATGTAGACGCGGTCCAAGTATCGTTCTTGAAATCCGCGCTCGTTGATGTCGACTGTGCAGAGTCAGAAGCACCGAACCACGACATCTTCTTTGCTTTGCTGGAAAAGTATGTAGTCCAACTACGAGGAGCGGAGAAACTGGTTGGTCTCCTCCGGTTGGCCGATCCGGGTAGTAGACTAGGCCAAATCTTGCCAGCTCCAATAAAGACCAACAGTCCTCTGTAATGGGCATTTGCATCGACTCCCGTGCCGAGGAAGCCGAAGATGATGAATCCCGTGGCGATCTGGACCCACTTCTCGATACTGATCTTACCAAGCCCGGGCTCTCTTGTGATTCTGTTCCATCTCTCGGGATCGTGGACTCTGTCCCAAGAGTAATGGTCGTGGAGTCTTCCGGCCATCTGGATGAGCAGTACGATGGTGTAGATCAGATAGAAGGAGATGACGATCAGGCTGACTAGGAAGAGGCGGATGAAGCGTGAGGACGTGGTGTTTCGCGCTGCAACAAGGCGGTGGAACTCGCGTCGGTATCGGTAAAGACGCCAGATAAGTAGGGCTGTTGCATAATTAGTAGGTTGACTTGAGGGAGGAAGCAGATGCGACTTACCTGCCCAGTAGGAATCGATCACAATGCCAACGGCTGACCACATGAAACTGATGACCATGCTAGGCCATGAAGCATCATGGACAGACCAACACCCAGCAATACCGACGATTGCATAGCGATTGTACTGGGTGACATAGTAAATGCCCATCAGTAACAACGGCACGCCCCAACACCAAAAGACTTCCCAGATCTTCGCTTTGACTTTGCTCTTATGGCTGGTCGACACAGTAATATTGCGTGTATCCATAACGTTGGCGAGCTTGCGTAGTACCAGGGCCAACGAGGCGGTCAATCCCACATAGCTACCGACCTGGAGCCGGATCTGAATGTCGCACAGGATCGCACCGTCCCACCATTCGGTCAGGTTGTCGCGGGGCCAGATGAGTGGGTTGATGCAGTTGAAGAGGTTGTGAAGGACAATCCACAAGATGAGTGACCCGGCTGCGACGTTGGCTTGACGGAAATGCCAGATCATGGGTGCAACGCAGAGGAGGAAGGCTGGAAAGGAGAGGGTGATGAAGAGGATGGCCTGGGTGGAGACGGGTGCGTTCATTTCCTCCATGGTGATGTTGGTGCTGTATTCATATGTCCCCGCCGCATCTCCAGTCCAGTAAGCTTCGTAGGAGTGTGTGTTGGTTGCCATAGAAGTAGATGTCAAAGACATAGCAGTGGATGTCATTGCCATAGCAGCAGATGTCATTGCCATAGCAGCAGATGTCATTGACATGGTAGCGGATGTCAAGAGGAGGGAGCAACCAATGAAGATGGGCAGTTATCTTCGATGCTGCAAAGCGGCAGATCTGAATCCAGTCCAGGAATGTAGCCGTTGATAAAGTGGAACTCGAGCTGTCGATTGTGCTATCTCCAGGATAGTGTCAGGTAGTGTTGATGGGTTTAGATATGGAAAAGATTATGATTAGAAAGAAAAGCAACGGAAGAGATAGACAGGCGGCAAGCAGCCTCGAAAGCCCCATCACTCCCGTCGATACCGAGTATATGGAAATCCTCAATAGAGCAAATGCGTGTCTCAAGCTTCAATAAGGCTCAATAGGACTTACGTTCACTTGAGTGGTGAAAACGAGTATGCCGCTAGAATAGCATATCCTCAGACGCTCTCGCCCAGGTCAATCACAGTCTGTTTGAAACGGGCTGACCCGTCGCATGGACAGGGCGCTGCCTGGTACCCGTGATATTCGGTTGCGGCGGTATGGTTGTGGTAGTGCAAGTGAGACTTTTGCCAGTCCGCATTTGGGTCTGAATAGAAAAAGATGAATTCTGAATAGAAAACCAACGAGAAAGAGACGAGACATGTCTGTGATAAGTAGCAGCGCAATCAGAGAGGGAATCATGGGGAGACGAGGTGCTAAGTCCCCGCAGCTGCGGCATGGTTGCAGGTCGGGTTGTACGTGGCGGGTTTAGCCAGATTATCCTACTCACCCGCTTCGAGCATCCAGGAACCGGTGTTTACCTGCCCAGTTTGGTGGGCATCTGTTACATTGTCGGAGTCCGAACAAGTGCGTTGGGACGATGGGGTACTCTACGGCAGATGGCTACATCCCAGTATGAAGCATCGGGGCACAACAAGTGGCGAGATTGTGTATTGATCCAATGGTAGATAGTCCATGAGGCATGTGCGAGCCATTGCAGCGCTTGGTCGTTTCCTCGGTCATGGAGCAGGCTGGGTTGCACAGCAGGAAGGCCTGCACACGTGTGGCATGGTTGCCACGGTCTGAAAGGCCGTGAATGCGGGAAGCGCACAGGATACCTGTTGCTGTCGAGATGGTGTTCGCAGTGAATCGCCTGCAAACCATGGGAAGCTAGGCCATAGCGCATGTGTGAGGAAGCTCGGAGAGGGTCCCAGCTCTACAATTGACCGCATCGAGACATGACGTAAGACGAACGACTCGCCGAGGCGTCTTCCACTACGGCACACGACCGTCGCGTTAGTACGTGTGAGCGTCACCAGAGCCTCAGCAATGCTTCCGCAGTGCCTGCACCCATCGCGATCAGGTGATTCGCATCTCTACCACATTGCGCCTTCTTGAAGCGGCGTCTAGGCATCCATTGGCAACGACGTCGTCCACGTTGCTTCTTCAATCCCGAGGCCTCAACCGGTACTCGCCATGGACGGTGCGCCGGCCGACAGTCCCAGCATCCACCCTCAACTGCGCCAGAGGATGCTGAACCGCGCCGCCACCTTTGCTGAGGGTGCGCGACCTTCTACTCCCCCTACAGCCGCCCCTCGGCGCCGCAGCTCCCTCGTCTCCGACCTCTCCGACTCGCGCTATTCCTTGCGGTCCTCCAGCGACAATCTTCTGAGAGCGGGTGGGAAGAATGATATGGGCCGACATGCATCTCCAGACGAGCCGTCACGATGGATTGCGCTGCCTGTGGTCGCCGCCGTGGTCCCTGCC